GCAAATGTTGAAAATAATGAAAGATCCAGGAAGAAAAGTGAAATGGATTTTATTCTAAATGGCGTAATTCGAAGCTTTTTCCAAAATGCGAGAAATTCGCGAATTTTGAAATTGATTTATAGAATGCGCGAATTTCTCGCGGTAATAATTTTTTAATGCGAGAAAGGAAAAAAATATGCGAGATTCTCGCGTTCTCGCGCTGTAGTGAAAACACTGTAGACAAACAGTAATGATTCTTTTAATTCTTCCTTAACACCAGAAAATTATTGTTATATGCCTTACCTACCCAAAATTTCTTAAACCATTCATATAAAAATTCAAGTGTCATAATATAAGACTATATGACATATTGTAGGATTATATAACTTTATATGATTAACTATATATTGAATTAAACTATTGTGATATATATTACTGTAATACTATAATTCCCATAAGTTATTTAGTTTAAATGTAAATTTTTTTCAACTTTCATTGCAATTTTAGTTGATCATAGCAGAGTGCGACTGCAAAGAAATGGAATTGATTATATTAATGCCAGTCTGGTTAATGTGGAATCAGCTGAGAGGTCTTATATTTTGACCCAAGTAAGTTTCTTTGTTAAAGTCTTATGTTGTGAAATTTCATTTCAACAAGTTATTTTATTACATAAATGATACATAATCGAATTGCTAATCCAATTGTTATATTTAAATATGCTAAACATTTCTATTTTGAAATATGCAGCAAGCTCTTTTCTGATGTTAAAGTGATAATCAGGAAATCCGTTTCATGACAGTATTAGAGGTGAATCTGAGATAAAGTAAAAAAATCCTCTATGTTTATGTGGGCAAACATTTGATTTCAAGATTGTAATTTATGCACCAAAAATAATGCCTGTTTAGAATAATTTTTTAAACTAAGATTAGTATTTTAATTACCTATCTGTAATAAACATATAACATTTTTATACTGCATTTATATAAAAAATTATGAAATAATTATTAATTCTTACAAGACTCTATTTCAGAAATAGAATGAATTTTTTTGCAAATTCATTTTATTTTTGTTCATCACAATTCATTATAACTAATAATTATCTGAGTAAAATTTTTTTACTCAGATGATTAGTTGAAGGATAATTAGAAGGATAAAAACAGGCAGGGAAAGTGAGCACAATATTTATTTAATTATTATTAGAGTGAGAACAATCATCCAAGTGATGCAAAATTTTAGCACTCTTCAATAAAAGTTATAGAAAATCTTGTAAAATAAATCCGTAAAATGTTTGAACTTAAGGAATAAGGGAAATCTTAATAATTATAATTGGTCTATTAAATAGGTCAAGGAAGAAAGTCTCTCACAGTTAGTGAAAGGGAAATCAATACAATGTTAATTATGCATAACTTATGTAATTAAAGAAATAGATTAAAAGACAGCATGTGAATAGTAAGTCTGAGAAAGTGTTTAGTTTGAAATAATAAATTAAGAAAAATATTTAAATAAAGGAATAATATAAAAAGGTTAGTTGAAGCTTTTTATGTTACACACGCACACACATATATATATTTATTCTTAACATGCAAAATTAACAAATTGCAAAAACATTTTTGAGGTCTGCATAATTATGTTACAATTTTAATTATTATATATTTAAAATAAGTTGCATAATCTTCCCTTTTTTGCCTTTTGTAAATCCTAATCATATTTAAAGAATGGGATATAAACATTGTGAAATTTGTGGCAATAACTACCGAAAAAGAAATCAGCTACAAACCATATGGATTTATGACTAAGTCATGCAATTTGGACATGTCAGAAAGAGAAAAAGCAAATGAGTGGTTCCAATTTTACATGTCGTAATATCTAATTAAAAATATTGGGTTATTAAAATCTTAAAAATTCGTAGCAATAATTGTCGAAAAAAGACTAAATCATATAAATTTACTGTGGAATTTTTGTATTTTGATCTGATTTTTATTTTGAACTCTGTGCCTGTTTTTGGCATAGATATTTTTTTATATTTGTCTTATACTTTTGAATAATTTTAACTAATATTTGGTCAAAATAAAACATTTGTGTATATAATTCATTGTCAGTGGTCTAGTCTTATGACTTGTTAATAACAAAACTTATAATTTTTTATCATTTATATGTAACATTTTTATCTTAATTTCTATTATATACATCATTGATGTTAATTTTTGTTGTTCTTATAATTTTGAAAATTCTCATGCTAAATATATATATATATATATTTATTTATTTTATGCAGGATGTAATTTTAGAAACATGATGTAATTACATTTTTACATAAATAATTATGTTTTACTTAATTACGCATGTATTACATGTAATTTTGATTTTTCATTAAACAGGATGTAATTATATAGATATATAATATAATATATATTTATTCATTTATTTTATGCAGGATGTAATTTTAAAAACAATAGTTCTTAATCCAAATTCGAATGTGTTGGGTGTTGGGTTGGACTAAATATAAAGTTCAATAGCCAAATGGGTTATACTGCTTAAAACTCAAAATAAAATTTTTTTAGTACAGTCAAACTATACTATAGCAAACTGTCTAAGGACTCAACAAAATGTTCACTATAAATGATGGTGCACTATATCGATCGAAATTCTTTGAATAATATTTTTTTAGCATGTGTGCATAAATAGTGATTGCAATATCGCATAATATGTTTATAAATTTTTCATGAAGTAAATCAATAATAAATCAAAAATTAAAAGGAAAAATATTTATTTAACTAAATATAGATTTTAATTTTACATTCTGTTGAAGAATTAGGGAGTTTTGATTAAGTACAATTTGATTTTAAGTAGAATTCATAAATTTTCCATTCAACAATCATTAAGGAGTTAAGGATTTTCTGATCTACATTTTCGTGGAAGGAAAAAAAAGATTCAGTATATTCACTGCTGATTTCACTTCTGATCTTGACTAGATGGCACAAAAATTTCCTGTTCTTTTTCATCTTCCTCCATCTTAAAGTCTTCCTCAGCATCTTTTTTTTTTTTTTTTTTTTTTTTTTTTTTTTTTTTTAAACTTTAGATAAGAAAGAACAATGTCTTTACATTGTGTAGTTTGATTGGTACCATCCTTAATACGTTGGATAATTTTAACCTTATACTTTCAAAAATGCTTTCCTTCTACACAATGTGCCATTTTCTCTTGTTTTGAAAGAAAAAAAAATTGCCCATGTTAAAAAAAATTATCTATATATATGTAAGAATATGAAAAGAGCAACTGTAAAATGAGTTAAATTCTTTTGTCTGCTCCTGTTCTTGATTTTCAAGAGATGATTTGTATTTTTCTATCAAAATAAAACTAGTGCTGAACTCATTGATACCGAGTATGCATATCAACAATTTTATATTACCTTGTTTTCTGTTCCTGACTCCTTTACCTTTACTCATTATTACACATTAGGTATACTTTATTTAATATTTTTAAATTAAATTCTTCAATATTTCTTTCAATCCAAACAATTTTTTATATGTATTTGTAAAATTTTGTAAGTAAGATCTTTGATTACTTACTTTTTAACTTCAAATTGTTAAGTTTTAAGTTGATTTTAAGTAAAAATATTTCTTTCACTGTCCTTGTGAATAATAATGTACACATTATAACAGTTTCTTACATGTTTTTATTAAAACAACTTGTATAATCATTAATTTTAGATTTAAATTAGTTTATTTCCTTCAGGGACCTTTGCCATTAACTATTGGTCATTTCTGGTTGATGATTTGGGAACAAGGATCAAAAGGAATTCTAATGTTGAATCGTGTAATTGAAAAAAATGCTGTAAGTTAGTTTTTCAATATTTTGTTATTCTATCATTACTTTAGTATATGATATGGGACTATTCCATATGACATATTAACCAGTGTTTTGACTACAGCACGAGAATCTCGCATATTCTTTTCTCGCAATAAAAAGTGATTAACGCGAGAAGTTCGCGCACTCTATTAATCAATTTCAAAATGCACAAATTTTGGAAAAAATTTTGTCTTTTGCTATTTTGAATAAAATCCGTTTCACTTTTCTTCCCTGATCTTTCATTATTTTGAACATCGGCCCTTGTTATCTATCTTCTCTATTTATCAGTATTGTTCAGAATCGGTGCGAAAAGCAGAACCCCCCGAACCACGGAATCCTTTTCAGAACACATTTCTCTGCAACCACGTGTTCACCGTAGGTAAGGTTTCTTCGTAAGACGTTTAAATTTTTTGTGCATGAATGTAAGATGGACAAATACCTTGTTAAGACGACATCTTCTACTCCGTAACGGACAAATGTCAGTAGAAACGGTCGAAATTAATATGGATATTTTTCAGCCAAATAAATATAATAGCTGATGAAAAAGTAGATATAGAACATTTTCCATATGATGATGCAGCAAAAATATTCAATTAGAAGATGTGAAAAATGTATTATAATTAAAGAAATAATTTTTTTCCAAGTTGTGTTTTTATAATTTTTAGAAATCTCACTTAACTTTTTGAAATCTCACCCTGTTTTTGAGAAAGGGTGAGAAATTCTCTTCCATTTTTTTCTGTAATGAATACACTGTTAACAGATTTTAATGTGATATAAGCATATTTTAAAAGTTTATAACTCAGTTAAAAAAAAGGTATTTTAATAATTTTTTCTGAAATTAAGTCTTTGTGTCATATGCACTTACTCTAATTTTTAGTAACTTTCATTAGTTTAAGAATTTAAAAAAAATTAAAAATGGGTGTAACACAATATGTTACATGCATAACAGCTGGTTTTAAATTTTTAAAAAACACAAATTTCTAACAGTTGGAGTTTTTTAATGATACTAAGATTTATAAGCATACTGTATAGTGAAACCTTGCTCTATGATACTTCTCTAGGTCGTTTACCTCACATTGTGAAAAGCTTTTAAAACCCTAGTCAGTCTCCTATGAATACTGTAAATAAACCACCTCCCTAAAGGGGACACTCTTTTAATCAAACACCGATAGTAATTAGTGTTTAAAAAAGTTATTGGAGGACGTACCATATTCTTATAAAAAAAAAAATTCTTATCAGTTTTTTAAACATGTACTTTACATAGACATTGTTGCCTGTTATGAACAAAATGATGTAGGGACACAACTTTTGATGTGGTGAAATATTAAGAAAATAACGTAACTAATATTCCTTTATGACTTTGGACTAAGGTTGATTATATTATTGTCTGTTGTGAATTCTTTATAAAACTATCATATCAGTTATCTTTTTCAAAAGCTGAATATGGTAAGATGCTTCGCATTGTCACAGTCATTATAACACATCATACTTTGTAGAGGTATTTTATATTATCGATTAAATTTGGAACCATCTGTTAGCAAGTCAAAGAAAATATTTCTAACAATAGTTCAATTGTAATTTTTTGATTGAAAAGAGGTGATTTGAGGCATCATGTAATTGAAGCGTATATCAGTAACATCGAACTCCAAATTGATTGAATTTTACTAATCTAATTTCTTTGAATTTTAATCATAAGTTTAAATGATTATTCATGTTATTCCTTTTTTCTATCAATGTATTCTTTTAACCATCATATTTTTGTGAAAGCATTTTTTAACATCATGTTTCTCAATTAGCTTGTATAAGCAGAGAATTGTATAGGTCTTGAAGGTGTATGGTTCAATTATGCTTTTCAAATCTATTTCATATTTTAAGTTTTTACTTTAGTTAATTTCTAGCAATTTGATTTTAATGTTAGATAAATGAACTATAAATATAATTTTGTAATCAAATTACTTATGCTAGGGCTGCACAACCTGCGGCCCGCGGGCCAAATGCGGCCCTTCAACTACTGAAGTGCGGCCCGCGAGAGCTTCTAAACACAAAAAATTTTTTTTTTAAATTTAATTTTTAATTTAATTAAAATTTTTTTTTAATCGCACTTTTAAGTCATCATGTTTTGACACAATCAATTTTAACAGATTCTTTAGTAATTGTACGTTTAACGCGCTTTTTTGAAGCCGAATTTATCATAAATATAAATGATTTTTTTTAAACAGTTATTTCCGCTCTTCTACGTGATTTTGAAAATTTCGAATTTTTATTACGACGCGAGTTTCAGATCGCAAATTTAAATAATCACTTTTTGTGCACTGTATTTGTGACGATTTCATCTTAAATCTAAGTGACTTTTTATCTTTTTTTTGCAATTCTTTCTATTTTTTTCAAAAATTTTTCTCGGCAGTTATTGCTATGCGTTCCCACGTATTATAAACCAATTATTCTGTTACGACATGCAAATTTTAAATCATGCATTTGACGAGCTTTATTCGTGCTGAGTTCAGCATAAATATATTTTTTCCTAATTATTTCTATACTTTTCCTCGTGATTTTGACGATCCCGTTATTTAACTATGATGTTATTACGACACGTGATTGTTAACCACGCAATTAAATAATCACTTTTTGATACGGTATTATGGTACAGTTTTATAGTAAATCCTAGTTATTTTTCCTTCGTTTTTATTTCCGCAACGAATATGATTTGGTCGAATGTGGTAATGAATTGTGATTTGATCAAAAACCAAATATTCGGCAAAAAAAGAAGAAAATGTCTATTGAACGCCGTACACTTGGGGCCAAATAGCAAAATCTTTTAGCAGTATAGCAACACTGAAACTAAAATTTCAATGCTCAGAATTTCCTGGAAAAACGTATTCATAAATTAACTCTAAAAAATAAAGCCAATCAAGAACGTTTTTGAAAATGTCGAAAAACGAAACCGAGAACATAAAAATCAATCTTAATTTTTGAAATTTTTTTTTTAAGCTGAACATCTCAGTTTTTCAATTACCAGAGAAAGCCAAGAGAAAAGAATTAAGTCAACAGAAATGCTATTAAAAACTACTGCGTTTTAATGAAAACGTCTAAAAAAAGTTTTTTTTTTTATTTGAAGAAAATAAAAAGATGGAAAAAAAGTTCTTAATTTTTTAAGTGAAAATCTTATGCCGAAAATCTCAATTTAAATTTTTCTCATAGCCATAATTTTAAAAGAAAAAAAATTGCTATAAAATTAATTTTATTTGTAACTTTATTTTTAAAAAAAATGCTGAGTCATGATAAAAATGCCTAAAAAAATAAAAACAGAAGAAACGAATTTTTCTTAGTTCCTGAAACAAAACTTTAATACTGAAAATCACACTTTTCTATGTTTCTGGTTATTCATATTACACTGCAGGGAAAGAGTGATAATAAATTAATAGTATGAGACGTTCTGTTAAAATGCTGGGTTATAATAAAAACTATAAAAAATGGATCCTTCTCAATTCTCAAAGTATCAATAAAATGACAAAATTGACTTGTCTGATTATAATTTTTAAAAAGAAAGTAATATCTATAAAAATTCAAAAATAGAAAAAACTTAGAAAAATACATTTCTAAAAAATATTCTGCCAAATATTTGACTGATCATTTGACAACCAACTGAATTTTTCGCAGAAGGGCCAAATACTCGTTACATCCCTCCCTAATTTAAATGCAATGTTATTGCAACTTGAGAAATTCATAAAATGGCGGAAAACGTGAATTTTTAAACTGCTCACTGTTTGTAGTTTAGATTTCAATTTTTTGTTGCTTAAGTGATCTTTTTCGATAAAAAAAGGAAAATGTTTACGTTATAAAAAATCTAATAATTAATAAAATAAAATAAAGTACATTACAAAATAAGCATTGAATTTTATTTTGAACTATCACAGTTTTGTTTTTATTTTAGGTTTTTGTTTAAAACCTATAAATTTTCTTCAATTAAAATATTTAATTTGAATTTATATTACTTAATTACGACTAAACTTTTTCCTACTTTCATTCTGTGGGCATTGCAGTTTTTTTTAATTTATTAGAATTTAATTCTAAAATGAGTTTTCATATTGCATGATATGATAAAAAAAAATTTCTTTTCTTCAATGTTTATTTATTTTGATAAATCTATTGTTCATATGATAAAAATTGGTTTTTGCTTTTTTTTTTGTAAAAAAAAAATTTTATCAAGTTTTTTTATTTTTGAATGAATTCTATTAATGGAACAGTACTAAGTTATTGATATTACTAAGTTTATTGATAAAAAAAAATGGAACGTAATGTTTAAATAAACATTATTACATTTGTCATTAACATGTTTAAATACATGTGCGGCCCTTCGTTAGCCAACCTGCTGTGCAAGTGGCCCTTTACTCAAAAAGGTTGTGCACCCCTAACTTACGCTCTAATTAACTTATTTATTTCAGGTTAAATGCCATCAATACTGGCCTGTTGGACAAGAAAATGGAGGCAGTGATTCTTTAGTTCTTAATGATGTTAATCTTCAGATTACAATTCTAAGTGAAAAAGATTTGCCGCATTATAGTATTCGAAAGTTTTCTCTGACAGATTTGGAGGTTGAGTTTACTTTTCACAATGCTCTCTTTTTTTTCTACAATTTTTTTCATTTTTGTAATAATTTTATTTTTTATGATATAATTAGTTTCGTTATTTTTACTTATTTGAAATTCAAGTGAAATTTTTTTGTTTTTTTAAATTTTTTAGTGTCAATGTAAATTTAGCCTAAAACTATAAGCCTCATAAAAACTGATTAAAATGTTTTATAACTAACCAAAATATCTCTTTTCTTATGTTAAATAACAATTTATATTGGAGATTCCACTTGATCTATGTTATATAACTTTTATGTGACATGGAATTCATGTAGTTAAATTTTGATAATTTTTTTTATTTTTATCGCTATTATAATTGATTATAAAATTTATAAAAATATTTAATATTTCTTCAAATGTTAAAATGAAAAATTTAAATTATACAAATGCATTTCCAAAATTCTTAAAATTATTTAAATACAGTTTATGAAAGGGTTTCATTTTTGATGTCTCAAGAATGCGAAGAAAAAAATATGAAAACATTCTTAGAATGAACAATTCATAGCATTAGGATTAACATTTTTGATTCTTTAAAAAGTTCAAATAATCTCACTCTAGTGAATTTTTCAATTCTATTGTTGAAAGTGATATAAATTAATCTTATTATGAGTAATTTTATTTTGCATTTGATTGAAATATTAGATTAAAAAAAATAGTGCAAAACTATAGATTGCTTAGGTGTGTATATATTTATTTATTGCAGTCAAAGTATTATTGATGAGAAAAAATTTAATGATCATTTTGAATGAAGTTTTTAAATATAAGTTTTTAACAAAAAACTTTGTAATTAGAGGAAAGTGGGGTAAGACTGTATAACTAAGATTAGATACTTGTTAGAGCTAAACTGTTTGTCCCAGGAGCAGTCAGATTTAATCAAGATATTTATTGTTCAGTTGTTTGTGTATAATATATCATTTTGAGACAGTCATAAAATGCACTATTTCTTTTTATAAATTATTTTTTCAATAAAACGTCAAATCACCAGATTTTACCCCTCTAGTGGGCATATGTAAGCATTATGAAAAGTGTAGAAATACTATACTTCAGTGAAAAAGTGACATTTTTACTTTATAAAACAAATTAAGAGTATTATGTAAAGTAACTAACATCTTCCTCCTCTCCACTTCAGCTTTCATGTGCCCAGCAAAATGACTTTCCACATTGAATATGATGCCTTTCTCCTTTTTTTAAAAAATTAGAAAATACTTCACTACACTCTAAATAATCTTATCTTCTATTGTAATTATCTTGTCTTCATTGAAAGAAATATTAATCTAGGATTTAGGTTTATTTTGATAAAATTGTTTTCTTATATTGTTTCTTCATATATCTTTTTTTCTTCTTTTCAGCCATTTCGCTTTTAGGGTTTCCTTTTCATTTTTTTCTTTTAGTTGTTGCGAAACACATTTGTTTTCAATGATAGCAAATTTTTTTAAATGTTCTTTTTTTCTTTTCCTGATATTCTGAGTCTTCTTTATATGGTGATGGTAGTACCTCATCATACACAAACTAGATGTACTTGGTCTTATCCTAAGAGCAGAGTTTATAGAAACAAAACAGATTCATGCCGTTACTGGACTAAATCCTTATTGTTTGTTAAAGTATAAATTCTTTGTAAATGTATAATAAGCTGGGCTAAAAAGATTTTTTTAAGTTCAATGTGTAATAAATAAGAATAGTTTAAAAACAAAAGAACATCAAGGAGTTGACACAGTAAAACAAACTTTTCTACACGGACCCTACAATATACCAATATGGCAGCTCTTTGTTTTTACTTTATAAAATGTAATTTAGAGTTGGTTTGCTTAAAAACAGAACTAATTTGGTCAAATTCAAGATGACTAGTTTCACCCCACTCTCTCCTATTAAAAGTAATATCGTCATTGACAAATTTATTACTTAATGTTGATTTTGTATACTGTCTCTTAAAATATTATCCTTGGTTCTAGCTATATTTTGATAATAAGAATTTAATAATATGTAAGTGAAAGACAACTTTCATTTTTACTTTTGTTTATAAAATGTAAATAAAAGTATTTGAAAAAAATTCCCAATTTTTCCCAAATGAATGGTAAAAAATATTTAAAATATTTTATGAATTAACAAAGTATTTGTTTAAAAAATGAGCAAAGTGCATGATTAAGCTTATGCTACATAAAATAGCACATTGCTTTCAAATAAACATAAAAACAGCTCATGTGTAGAAATTATGAATTTGTAAACAATTGTAAAATCATTTGCTCAAAAATCATGTTTCTGTTTCTCATTTAAAATCATATTTTTTGTTAAATTATGAAACAGGAACCATCTCAAAATTAAATTTCTTTTTATTTTATTAAAAAATTTTTAAAATAAATAATCAACATCTTCTCTCAACTAATATTTAATGCTTTTGAAAATTAAAATTGTTTATTGAATTTAATTTCTTCTTTAGAGTTCTCAATCCAGGGAAGTGATACAGTTTCACTATACAACTTGGCCTGACTTTGGTGTTCCAGAATCTCCTGCTGCCTTTTTAAGCTTTCTTTTTGCTGTCCGGGATTCTGGAGTTTTGAATAACAATGTTGGTCCTCCAGTTGTACACTGTAGTGCTGGAATTGGAAGATCAGGAACATTTTGTTTAGTTGATTCTTGCTTAGTTCTTGTAAGTTCAAATATGAGTATGTTTTGATTTAGAAAACTTCAGTTAATTTTTATAAGTTACCTTTGCTGTTTATGAGTCTAGTTGCAAAGACTAATGAAAATTATTCAGTTTTTTAGTAAAAATCACAGTACAGAGCTTAAGTTAGTGTTTATCTGTTAATTTCGCAGAATAAGTTATTTGCACTTATTGTAAATATGGCAATTTTTAGTTTTGCAAATGGGTGATTTATATAATCAGGCTACAGAAAAATATTACAATAGACTCATTGTCAAGTGAAAAAAATGTGTTAAATATTATATATATATATATAGTTAATAGTTACTTTAATTTCTTAAAGAATCAAGTATAGACTAAGTAAGTTGGCCGACAATCTATATTTTCATTTCCTCTTTTTTATGTTACATATTAAAGGAGTCATGGTTGTTTCTAAATTTCTTTTGTATATATATATTTGTTAGCTTTCTATTTAAAAACTTTCAAAATCTATTTCACTTCAATAAGTCATATAAATTTGAACATAACTTCTTTTACAGCTATGTATCGGTCACACCAGTGATAATTTGGTGGTCGTTTTACTATGTTTTCTAATACAATGTCAATTTTACAAAATTATAGTGAATTTTTGTTTCATATGTGTATTTAAGAATAGGTTACTAGGTAACTTTGGCAAGTTTTTTTTCAATGAAAAACACTATCTTGGATGGAATAAATTTCTTATCTTTTTATAAAAGAATTTTAGTATACCCTATTAAATAACCAGCCATATTTGTTTAGTATTTCAGTTTAATTATCATTAAAAATATAAACTTTTACAGAAATTAATGATTGGGATAGTATTTGGGATGCTGGAAATTAAAAATAAAATTGGGAAAGTGTTCATTTATCACCTTCACTAAGTTGTCAAACAAGTGTTTTTATAAAAGTATTTCACAGTTTAATATCAATAAATGTCAAATTCTTAATGAAATAAATATTTGATAATTTGAAGCACATCACATCTATTGTTTAATAATTCTAATATTTAAGATAAATAAATGAAAAACAGTAGAAATTCTAACTGAGCAAGGTAGTTTGAATACAAAAAGAAAAAAAGTTTTTATATTTTGGAATTGTTAAAATTTTCTGAATTTAAGTTTTTCTTACATCTAATAATAAAAAATAATTAGTTCTTTTGAATATTATATTGCATCAGGTATTGAAGCATTCTTTAATTCAGTTAGCTTAATCTTTTTTTGTGTTTTCATGTTTTAAGTTGATATTGCTAAGATTGATTTTTTTTTCTCAGCAATCTTTAATTTTAGATTTAACTATTTTTTGGTGGCAGTAAAATGTCATTTAAATTCTCATGGATAAAAAGAAATGTAAACTAATATTTCAAGTTATTATTAATGACTTATTAAAATATTAATTTCCAAAATTTAAGGGAACTGAAAGTGAAATTAAGCATATTGTTTTATACAAGCCTGTTATGAGCTTTCACCATTTGCTCATTGTTGCTTGCCAGTAATTGCTGCTAAATTATGTATTTGTTTATTTTTGCTCAATACACCAAGTGCAAACAAAATTCTATTGCTTCATTCATTCATTAATTTTGGAAATTTCAATCAGATTTATAAGAAATGAAAAAAAAAAGTACTCTGAACTTATATTAACTTTATTAAAAACTCTTCTTGAATCAGTAGTTTTCAATTAAATGATGGAATACATTTGTAAGACAATTGAAATTCAAAGTTCTACTTTTTCTTTGGGTCCTTATTATGTTTAGTCGCTCTTGAAGCTAAAATTTTCTTTTAAATTTAAATTAAAGCTTTTTAAAAAACTTTTAGTTTTAAAAGATAAGCTTGTCTCTCTTAGATCCAAATTTCTAATTATTAATAGATTTGAGGTTAAATTAAAGAATGTTGAAAAGAAATTTGTTTAAATATCATTTAATTTTAGCAGTAAACTGTATTGTAGTTAATAATTTTTTAAAATATAATTTATTGCTTTTTTCTTGTTAATTTTCAATTTGCAACTGTTTTACTTTTAATTGAAGTATTTTGTTGTTTATTTGTTTAAGAAGCATTTACATTATGACCAATAAGTTTTTGTATAACTTTTGAAACACTATAAAAAATTATATGTTTGTTACTGTACTCTCAATTCTTTTCAAACAGTTTCGTATAAGGTATGTATGAGCTATTGCAAGTTTAAATGTTAAACTACTTATGATTTTTCTTTACCTAAGAAGAATAAATAAATTTTGAGAAATTGTGATAAATAAATTCCTCAAATAGATCAGCAGAGCAAATTTTTTTAGGAGCTTGAAAGCCCTGGTGGTGAAGAGATATTTCATTTAAACTAACTATCAGAAAGTTTAACCAGTCAGATGACAGACGAAGATCTGTCTGACCGTGGTCTATTTAAACAAAACAGACTGGGAAAAAAGTGTCAAGGAAAAGATACAACAAAACCAACAAAGATTACTAGCACTAGAGCTAAAAATAGTGAGATTATCGATTTAAACATTCTGAGAAAAAGCCTTTTTTGCAGAACTTACAGAAAAAGCAAAATTCAGAGACTTTCAAAGTCTACTAAAATGAGCATGAAGCAGAGGGTTGGTGAAATTATTGCATGGCAAGCTAAAGATGAATGTGTCTTTTCAGGCTAAAAACTATTTGTTTAAAGTCTCAACCTCCAAAATCATGAAATATAATTAGTTTCTATTGATAACATCCCTGAGAGCTAGCATTTTGTTCCCTGTTATAAAAATGCTTTTTCTGTGATGTTTTGGGGGCTATTTCAGAAAGAGACCAACTCCCGTTAGTTTTCATTAAAAAGGGAGTAAAAATCAATGACCAAAATCATTGAACTGAAGTTTTGGTAAAAGATTTACTACAAAGTGTCCGGAATATGTATGAGGTGGAATATTTCTGCTGCCAACAAGATGGTGCTCCATCTCTTACTCCACTTGTTCAGGTGTGGTGCAGCAAACATTTAGCTGACTTCTTGTTGGAGAACGAATGGTCCTCAACTCCCCTGATATGAACCTGCTTTATGATTTTGTTTGATTATATATGCTCTTTCATCTGAATAATTTTGAAATCACCAATATGATCATATTCAAAAATGTAATTGAGAAGGTTTGGCAGAAAATGTCAATGGATGCCTTTTGTCCCCATGCAAATGCCTTTGGTTCCCATATGATGGATTTGAAAAGAGGCTTAGATCGTTAGAAAAAAAAATGGTATTATTCCAAAATCTTTATTGTAGAGATACTCAATGATTGCTACTTTAACTTAATAAAAAAGTTTTTGAATAATTGCAATAAAAATTTGAAAGCCTATAAAAACTTATAGTCACCATGTGACTCGTTAATAATTATAGTAGTCTTGTAACATGAATTTTATAATCAGAACTTAGTAACTTTATATTGCACATAAGTTTTAAATAGTTTAATGTCTCTCTTCCTTTTTTCTTGTTTACTTTAGATTGAGAAAAAGCGTGATCCCAACTGCATAAATGCAAGGCAACAATTATTAGAAATGCGTCATTATCGAATGGGTTTAATACAAACACCTGATCAGTTGAGATTTTCATACCTAGCTATAATAGAAGGTGCTAAAATTGTGTTAGCACTGGAACAGCCATCTAGATTCATGCTGAATAATGAAAATCTTGCCCAAGTAAGACTAATAAATGTTATGTTTTTTATTTTTCTCATACTTCATATGATTTATTTTGTTTTTGATATTGTTTGCAGCATTAAACTGTGCATAGAACAAGTTAGCAATTTTAAAAGTTTACTTTTTTAAAATTTTATTTCATGCATTTTATGCAAACATTTGTTAAAAGTTAATACTCTTGCATTTTTAAATATTGTTGTTTTTTCTCATTTTATTACTTTTCGCCTAGAATAACATTTTTAACATGGGATATTTTAAAGAAATGTTGCATGTTTTTTAAAGAATTTTTAGACCTAATCACTTACTTTTCTTGGATAAATTATCAAAAGTTCTAACAAAAAAGGGGGAGTTATGTTTGCATTTTTATTTATAAGAAACATGACTTCAATGAATAAATTTAAATATTCATTTTAAACTACTGATTATATCAATCCTAGAAATTGTTTGGTTGGGCATGAAAATTGTTAACAAATGCTTTAGTCATTTGAAGTCATTGATTTGAGTCAAATCCACTTTTTAAAAAATGAAATAAGTCTCACTTCATGTAAGTCTTTCTTATCTTAAAATTTGTACTCCTCTATCTTGCATTTATTGCAAAACAAAGGGTCAATCAGGTAAGATAGGAACTCATTAGACTTTTAAGTCTCTCTAGCTAAAAATGGAGTTTACTTATTATTTAAATTAGGCCTTCATTTGTTTTCTGAAATGAGTATTTCAGAAGGGTATTTCTTTATTTAAGAAAATATTAATTTAATGATAGAATTATAAGGGAACATAAACTATATAAAGTTATTAGGAGCAGAAAATTTACATATTAGATGAGGTAAAAAGGTATTCCATTGTATTTTGTATTTCCATTGCATATCCAATCCATTGTAAGGCAAATTTTTTTCACAATTTTATTTATCTATTGGAGAAAAGATAAAAGCAAAATATTCTTTGAAAGAAATAAAAGAGTCCATGATTGTTAATCTTGTTTCTGTTATGAATTCTCGACTACAATTATGATATAAATTTCACTTAAAAGGAAAATGTTCTTTTTTTTTAAAAAAAAAAATTGGATGATTGCATGATAGGCTGAGAGAAAAATATTCAACGTAAATTATTCAAGCTTGTTTTGCATGTAGAAAAGAACTTAATTATATCTATGCATTTTTAAATTGTTGCAAAATTTTTTAAATTTCTAGATGATTTTAAATTATCATGTCTTGTGGTATCAGTTTTCTCTTACAGGTTTATTTAGGGAAGTAACATTTATTTAAAAATTTTTTTCTATTCTTTTGTAATTTTAAAAAATAAAATATTTCAATTTTAACTATGCCAATTAACTGAACCGGTTCTTTTTTGAGCAAGCATTCTAATTAAGGTATTTAATATTTCTTTAGAAAAAATTATAGGATTGATTTTGAACTGTTAAATAATTTTGATTTTAGTAATTAAATTTTTTTGACCCTCTGTCCTGATTTGACCATTTTTTAAAGTAATTTAAAATACTTTTCTAATTTTTGTACCAAGGGGGATATACTTATAGAAAATGATGTCTAAAAAATATTGCTTATTTAATTTAAAAATGTTCTCTTGAATATAGTGTACTCTTGCATTTAAAAAATCATTGTGAAAATTACTAAATTTATGCATTTTCTGCATATTGCGTTTAGGAGGAAATCCATAAATTACCATACATTGCTTATTGTATTTTTTGAAAGCTAATAGTATATATATAAAAATATCTTGAGATAAAGTTTTCAAATTTTGATTGCTTTGAAGAGTTGGTATCATATAAACACATTAGAAAAACAATGCTTTCCTTGTTATCTTTTAAAACTATGAGTTATAACACTAAGCACGACCAAATTGCAAATTTGACCATGTTGTTGGAATACCAAACTGAATATAAATTATACTGCATGGTGATTTATAACAAAAATAATTTTACCTTATGTATGTAGAACATTAACTTCAAGCTCGAATGTATTTTTCTAGAGAAAATATTTTTAAACCTTGTCTAAGATTCAAGATGTCCGAAGAATTATCACTTGCTTTTCATTTTGTTTTTATGAGATTATAGACATTTGAATTCTCTAAAATGTAGCATGGAAATTTAATTTTGTATTCCGTTACTCTTTTTAAAATTTTGTCGGATATTTTCCAGGCAGCTTTTCTTTATTTTATTTCTTAAACTTCTTAAATGTTTTCAGTTACCCGTTCAGGGTTTTGTGGATGTTTGCTCATAGTTGCTTTTGTGCAACAAACTTATTGATTCTAATGCTGTTAAATGAAAACACTGTGTTTAAATTTGGCTAAGGAGCTCTATAATGAAATATTTAGGTCTTTTTAAAATTTATCAAAAAGGTAATGTTTAAATAAATAGTTAAGGTTATAAAACATTTTATTAATTTAACATTTATTATTTTTATCATAAAACATCTTATAAATTTTATTAATTTACTTATTTTAATGTTTAAGAATTTTTTTTCTTTAGATTCATGACAACCTGTCTGATCAAATGGAAAATTCAAGGTCATACTCAAATGAAATTGATAGTGAGTCTGGTGTACTTCCTCCTCCTCCTCCTTTACCACCTAGAATATCAAGGAGCTCTGATGATATTTCTTCTATAGACTATGTATTAGATAGCTTTCTTGAAAAATGTGATGAACTGATAAATTCTGAATCGGATATTACTAACAGTGGACTAAATGCTGAGCAAAATGCTAATTCTCTTGTATCAAACCACCAAAGCTATAATGAGCCAAAAATTAACAAGCAAGAAATCATTCCTGAAACAAGTGATGGCACTGAAGCACAATCAGCTGATTCCACTGGAAAAGAAAAGTAAGTATTGTTCTCTTTTTATTATAGTTTGTGCATGTTAAAATGACTAATGTTATTTCTTTTTGTTTGTATGAATTTATTACATATGTAATTGACTCTACATACTTTTTCTTTTCTCATCAAATAACTACATCTTTGTTCACATTTTTTATTTTAAAAAAACCCCATTCTTTTAAAATTTGTTTTGTTGTGAAGTTTTAAAAGCATTAAACCAATACGTATGTAATAAAAAAGTCTAATAATATCATACATTCTGACTTGTGTAGTCGCTGAAATTTTTTCTTCTTCTAATGGTTGCAACACCTATGTATAAAGCTTTAATATTGGTTTTTAAAATTTGTATTGAATTTGTTTTACTAATCATGACAAATCAATTTTGCAAACTTATGTAAATAATATCATATTGATTGATAGTTATGATCACAATATTTGCAAAGCAGTTTAATTTTTAGGAATCATTAATTGATAATCATTAATTTATTACTACTTAGTAAAATTTCTTCTAAATATGAATAATGAAATAATCTGCAATATTTTTTCACAAAATTGTAGAACTTATTTTTGGTAATTGTCATAACTTTATGCTAAAAATTTTGAAATTTTATTTTATGCATAAATATATTTTCTCACATTTACTACTAACCAATTTTGCATAATTATTGCATTTTAATTTTTGCAACTATAATTTAGTTTCAATAAGAATATTTTTAATTTTTCTTCTTGGCACTACAGCCTAGAACAGGTCGACAGCAAAATAAGTTTTTTCAGTCAGAGTCTGTCAAATTAATGTTCTTTCATATTAGTCACTTTTAATGTTTCGGGACAAAATCAAAATAATGGACTTATCTTTTGCCGAATTTTAAACATTTTTCTCATCATCATCAGGGCATCTCAGTGGTGGTCTTTCCTGTTCTCACCTGACTTGTTGAAGTTAACAGCTTAGTCTGGTTGTTATTCCTTGATCAATCTAAGTTACCTAGATACCTAGTTTGGTTCAATTTGATGACTTTTACTATTTCTGGTTGCTTATATTGATTGTATGTAATTGGTTGCATGTAAAAAAATTAGCCAGGCATTATTTTCTTGGACAGCACTGAAAATGTTGAGTAGTATTTTTCTTTTAAAAACTAGTAGTCGATCATAAATTTTATTTTCATTCCTGTTTACATCCATTTTTTTCTGCCTCAATTACAGCTCATCTTGATTTGCAGAAGAGGTGCAAACTATTATGATTTATGCCTAATTATTACTATCTTCGAGAATTTCAGTACCTTCCGTACTTTTGTTTAAAATTCGTTCTTTTTCCCCTTAACTCCTGTGAGTTTAGGAGTTTTGTTATTTGTAATTAATCAATGTCAATTCTTTTTGACTCCTTTAAATCAATAAACAAGAAAAAAATTTTCTTCTTAGAAACAGGAAATTAAAAAAATGAAACCTCATCTTTTCCCCTTTTAATGAGCTATCAAGTTTAAGGGTGAAGGAGGCTGTTAGCAGATGTTTTAAAAGAAACGTTATAGTTTTATTTTCAATTTCTTTTCCAAGTTATTCATTTGGTTTTCCAAGTTATTCATTTGATTTTTATATAAGTTTTTTTCTGTTTATGCTTAGTTAAACTTTGAAGAAAATTGAAAATGCTTACAGAAGTTGTAAAAAGGTATTTAGAAGTGAAAATCACACAAAAATTTACAGATAGGATTAACTGTCATGCATGTAGTTATTTGAATGAGACGGATAGTTACATTTATTTGAAGATATAGAAAAAATATAAAGGTCCTATGACAAAGCTAAACCTCTTAACATTGTAGAACTTACTGTCCCCTTTTTTAATTATGCTTTTCTTGTACAAGAAAAAAGTTCAAATTAATTTAGATAGTTGTTAGAAAGTTCATTAAACGTTTTTTTCTATTAATTATTCCTACACCTCCTTTGGTTTTGACTTAATAGCTTATTTCGCATAGGGATGCTGCATCTAAAAGATTTTTAATTTTGTTTTAATTGAACTGATTTCTGCTGAACTATAACAACTGAAACTTTTGCCCTTATAGAAAAGCAAAAGAACTTGAAAAAACACCAAATCTAAAATGCTATGAAAGAAAATTTTTTGTAGTTCAAATGACAGTTACTAAGAAGGCAATAATGGCATGTTCTAATTTGACGAAAAACTCCAATTAATTAATTTAAATTTAAACGTACAAATTCAGTATTATAGGGAAAAACAGATTTAGTTGGTCCACTTTTATTGCATTAAAAAATCTGTATAGTTTTTTTTCCCGAAGTAAATAATATTGATTAAATGATAAAATTTCTCACTATTCATGATTTTTAAAAAAAATATGTTGGAATTATGTTTTTATTTATTTTTATTTTTTTTGATAAAAAAAAAACTTGAACAGTGGTCCACCTGATAGGACATGTTGGAATATGTAACAAAAATATATCCATAAGGAATATTGAATGATAAATGTTATCAAATACGAATACAGTATTCACATTTTTTTACTTTGCATTTAAAATGAAAATTGCATTTTTAAATATTAACTAAATTAATAAAATAAGTTTCAATTGTTAAAGAATGAAAGATAATCATTCTTACTGAAGAGAATTATTTATTGAATTTTGACATTGGCACTAAGTGATTTCGCATAATGAAGCAAAAATGTAATTGTTTAAAATAATTTGTAGCAAATTTAAGTAATCAAAAGACATATTCAACAATACCTATGCAATGAAAAGCCTGTTATTTTTTAATGGTGGTTTAGAAAAAATTAAAAATATATAATCTTCATACACTATTATTTTTTAGTTTTGTTAGGAGTGTAGTAGGTACAAGATATTCTGTTTAAAATGTCTTTTTTTATCCCCAGCTATCTTTAGAACTATAGTTTAAATTTGTTCTAGTTTAACAAACGATGAAAAGCAACATTTTTGACAATTTTTATTATATAAGGTGAATAAAATTAGTGTAAGTTTTGTGAATGTTTAATAAAATGCATATTTGCAAACGAGATGAATTTAAAGTAGTTTTCTTCAATACTTTTTATAAAATATTTGTTTGCTTTTATTTCTTTAAATTTTGTTATTTCTTCATTTCAGTGAAGATTTTCAAAAGAATATTGGAATTAGTTTTGTATTTCTAAATTTTTTTAAAATGGCTATTAAGAGTATACAATTGTATAACTCTAAAAAATAACTAGAATAATGCTTATAACAAATATTTTCTGAATTATTTTGATGGTCTAACCTACCCCAGTTTTTAGTGATCCAACATACTCCTTGTTCTGGGTTTCACAAAAGATCACAATAATTTCTCTCCTTATCATATAAAATTAAATAACTGCAAGTAATTATTAAATTAAAGATCTAACTTTGTAAAATAATTACATTCTATAGCTCTATTTTTAACCCTTTATTTCATGCAATTGCAAGTATACAAGACAAATTTCAATGCATCTGCATTTGACTATAAATGCATATACCATCTGGACATATACCATCTCGTTCATGATGTTGTATTTTTGAATCTTGCCTTTCTGTTTTGATGAAGTCCAGTTTGTGTCTAACTGGCATTATGGGTCTCACCAGACATCACAAAGGTCCAAAATGCCCAACTGTCAAAGCTACACACATTTTAAATGTGATAAATTTAGGTTGCACCTTTGTCTTTGCATACAATTAGTTTAGCATACTTATGATGTTATAAATGCGAAACATAATATACTTTTTATATATATTGCAATAAAGGGTTTTCGTAAACACAGAACTTGTTATTTTAAAGCTTTTATTTAAAATTTAATGTAGAAAAATTTTCATGATAAAATTATTAATTCATGAAATGAAGGGTTAAAGAAACAAATTTTCAAAGGTAAAGTAATAAAGTTCAGAAAATTACTTAGCAGTGTTAAAATACAACTTGTGAAATAAAAATGGCTCACTTTAGCTGTGTCGTAGGATTCTTTCATAGGAGAGTGCCAATAACATCAAGATAGTTTGCATATGTCAATACTTGTGGATTTGTTGTATTAAGTGCCATCAGCTATTGTCTTTGCATCTCTGATGGCTTTCTAGTGTAGTATTAAGAAGCATGCATGATAAGGCATCACATTGCCTTAAAAAGAAAAAAAACTTGGGTAACTCATTTTATTTTTTGATGTTACATCCTTCTAAGTTTTTTATATATATCCTTATCCTCTTAGAAGTTCAATAGGAGATTTTAATGTAATTATTATAGTTGCTACACTTATAGAGTGAACTAAATGTGTATTAATAACATTAAGCTACACTAATTTAACAATGAACTACTCATTTGTATGACATATAAAACTGTAAAGTAATATACATGATTTGAAAATTGTTGAATTTGATAATACCTGTAAGATTGAGTTGCATAATATTTTCAATGTTTACATTCGTGTGTTTAGTTCTTTTAATAAATTTTTCATTATTATATAAATGCTTAAAGTAAGTTTTACCAATTTATCTAACATTATGTGTGTAATTGCATGTTTTAGCTGTTAATACTTTAATAATATATGATGAGCGTATATATATATATATATTTTTTTTTTTACAGTTTATCTGAAGTGAGAAAACGAGCTCGAAAAGAACGAGAAGAGAAAACTGCTTCAATTGTGCAAAATATTAAAAAGAAACAAAAGGAAGCAGACCTTTGGGATAAACGGAAATCTCTCATCAAGATTTCTATCGGTCTTGTATTTATAATTGGTTTGGGATACTATGCTTATAAAATTTATTCTAAAAGTTGAAGTTCTTAAAATAGACTAGAATTTTATAAATACTAATTTTTAATACAATGCTCATATTAAAATTAAACAACTATTTTTGTTACTAAATGCATCTTTTAAGACAAAACTTTTCAACCAATTAAAAACTTGTACAAAGCATACAGAAAGTGCAAGTTATTGTCTTTCTTTATATTATATTTACTTATTTAATTTCATGCCTCGAGGTATGTCAACATGCAAGTTTTTATCAAAGTTGAACAAAGCCTTTAACTGTAATAGAATCCAGTGTGCAATCGATGTTAAATGCGTCTAACGCTTTTTGTAACTTGGGATTAAAAATTCACAATTTTCTGAAATGTATAGTTATTTATTTTTGTTGCTTGATGAATAAATTTTTTTAAAAATTTATAAATTGTATCTATTTTATAAATCTTAATGAGACATAATAGCATCTTTTCGAATTTTTACAGAAAAAATCAATTTATGATCATTTTCTGCGTTCCCCCTATTCTGTACTTAGTTATTGGAATGTTTACTAAATATACTAAGAAAAGCCTGCAAATTCTCAGAAATTGTAGGGCTGATATTTGGCTTCAAACTCACAACCCCAAATTCATAAACATGCGTGAGAGTTGACTCATAAACAGTCATCTCTCTGATCATTATATTATACTGATGATTTTTGTTTTATAGAATACAAGGAACATTAAATAAAATTTAAATGTGAAAAGTTGTTTTAATCTGATATGAAATATATTTTTCTGATATTAAAATTATTACAATGTACATATTTTGCTAAGTCTGTAAGATGAATGTTTATGAATCTAAAATTTTAATATTAATCTTATTTGCTATTTTTTTTTTAGCTATCTGAGACTTTACTTGTAATATCAGAAAGCAAGATTTATTGATGTGATAGTATTTTGTTGAACGTGACATGTGAATTGATGTGCTAAGTGAATCAAAATAAATAAAATTTCTCATGGAAACAGAAATCATAATTTTTGACCCTTATGGATAACCTCTTAGTCAAAGAAATTTATAAGTGGGTCACCAATTTAGCAGAAAAAATATTTAGTATCTGAATATTAAAAATACTTAAAGAATAATATCATTCATATATGCTAAAAAGTTCTGTTTCAACAGGTAACAAATACTTTACTTCACGTCAGGAAGGCTTAAAACTGAGATTTTCTTAAAAAACATCTTACACATCTTATAAAATAGATCACGACCTTCCACTGTATGATATGATTTTGAAGTTTATCGTAATTTTATTGAGTTCTAGTTTGTTTTTTTATTTTAAGTGCTGAGGTGTTTTATGTCTTTAGAGCACAAACCTATGAATAAAACTATGTTTCTAGAAAAGCTGGTTCTCTCCTTCTGTCGAAGAAAGGTACATGCTGCTTCGTTCTGGCTAGTCTTTGTAAAAAAGTAATCGTGAATCCGTATGAAACTATTTTTCCTTTTCGTTTGTGCCTGGAGATGGTACTGTGTGTTCCAAAACTTAACTAAAGTGTTATCATTATATCAACTCTATCGTGTTGTGTTTTGTTTATGTTTAGATACATCCAATGACTTAAAAACAAAGAGCCATTCTGCTTTTGTTTGCACATTTCAATGAATTGGTCTTTAATGTATAAAGCATGTATATTTATGGCATATTTATGTATAAAGGATGTTTTAATAGCAGTCATAAATAATTTAGAAGTACAGTACCATAGTCTACTGCCTTTATTTGTGACACTGTTTCAAGCCCTTTTGGTTACCAGAAAGGTTTGAAACAGTGCTGATGTAAAGTATCCTCAGTGGTGGGCGGATCATGGGTTAGAATCCCTTTGCTGTCAGGCTGCCTGTGGGAGGTTTTCCTCTATGCCATTAGTTCCATAAAAAAGCCCTTCACAAAGGCAGATGTCTCCCAATACTTGATCCAGGAGTTCCCTTGTCTTCTGGATTGGGTTGAAAATTACAAGGACGCAGAGTTGAACATGGGTAGTCGTACACTCAAAATTGGATAAGCTATCCAACGACGGTTGTAAAATGAAATAAAACTAGCATGGTTTCACTCACCCATCCCCTCCTAATCACAAGAAACATTTGTGCCTCTCTTCAGTCCTGGGGACTGAAATCATACTTTAGAAAAAATCATGAGACTAAATTTTATCAATATCTTTTCCATTTGTTCTTTAAATTAAAATGTCCTTTTTTCCTTAAAAATGTTAATTTCATGCAAACATTTTCTATATATTTTTCTGGTTAAGTTTGTACAAATATTACATTTTAATGAAAATATCATTTTTGTAATTATTGCAAAGTGATCTAGTAATGATGTCACACCGCAATGAAGGAATGGGATTAATTGAACTTCAGCATCTGCTTGCTTAAGCGAAATTTGTACTATTGTATCTAAATTTGTTGAGTTTTCATTTTCCCCTAATGTTTTGAAATGCAGAAAAAGGTTAAGATTATTAGTATTATTTTAAAAAGAGAGAGACACACAGGAAATAAATAATGAAGTGAAAAAAAAGTAATAAGACAGTAAATAGCTTCATGAAAAAAATTAGGGGTTATTATTATCCAGTGATTAGTGCAAAAAACAAGTTTAACTATTATTTTTATCTTGTTTGCTATGAAAAAATCAATATCAAAAAAATCTAAATGAAAAAAAGTCTAATTATTGATTTAATATATGTGCCATTATTATGGAAAGATACATTTTGGAGTCAGTGAGCTATAAATTTCTGGTGAACAATGCTAGAATGTATTAATTGGTCAAAAAATAGTTCATTCTTGAAATTTTTTTTAGAGTTGTACCCATGAACCATGGTGAAAGTGGGATGGAAGCGAAGCAACGGCCTCGCTACCATCGTTTATTTCATTTCAGCATTTGGCTCTGATGGCATCACTAAGAACAACGAGAAATTTTCTTTTTCTCCACGGACATGCTCATCCACTTGCAAATGTAGATTTGAATTTCAATTCTTGGTTTTTCCTTATCGCGTGATTTTTTTTTCCTTTTTGCTTTGCTCTAGGAACACCTTTTTTCAGAATCCTCAGAACACAGGCATTTCATTTTATAACCATTGTTGAACAGCTGACCCAATTTTAAGTTTACGACTACCAATGTTCACCTCCGCAGCCTTGTAATTTTGAACCCAATCTAGAAGAAAAGGGAACTCCTAGATCAAGTAGTGGGAGAAATTTGCCTACCCCGGAGGAGTTTTTGATGAAACTAACCCGCATTTGCGTATACATGGGGAGGAAAACCTCCGACGGTTAGTCTGGTGGCAAGGGGATTCTAGCTCATGATCTGTCTACCATTTAGAATATTATACGTTAGCACTGTGGTCTGGGAGAAGCGGGTGGTGAACGTTCTTTTATCAAATTAAAAGTTATAAAAACCGATTTAACGTCTACAATGACGCAAGAGAGTCAAAATTCGTTGGCAATACTTTTCATCGAAAATAAAACAGCAAAAATAACTTGATTTTAAAAGTCAACAAAACTGTTTACCTCTGCGAATCACGAAAAAATAAATTGTCAAAAGATGATGCTCATAAGAAATATTAATTGTTCTTGATATTTATATTAGAATATTTGAGATGATATTCTAATTAAACCAACCGCTTTCTTTTTTAACCTTAAAATCGTTAGTTATTTTCTTTTTCATATGTTTTTTTAATTGATATTTAGGGGTAATTTTCTTGTAGAAATATTGTAATCTTAAAGGTAAAAAGCAATTTTTTACAGCGTTAATACTACATCAATTCACGGATGAAAATACGTTATTTTTATTACTCAGATTACTTTTCTTAAATTGAATTAAGGGCGCCGTTTTCAGTATAGCCCGAGGCGTACAAACGTCTTTCGCCGTCACTGTATGAATGCATATAGATCTAATGGAAACATACGTATTTATTGTATTTAAAAATTTCAGACGGTTACAGAAAAAGATACTAAGTTCGAGTTTTCTATTTGTATTTTGGGAACGGCTCGATGTTTTCTAGATTTTATAATTTCTGAAACAGTAGCGCCATCTATCATAAATAAGTGGGTAACAACGGCTTCATTAAAACTCGAATATGGATGGTGTTTTCAATAGAAATGTAAACAATAACAATCTCGAGCTCGGGACCTACTCTAGTTCCGGTTAAAAAGTTTGCAGCTGCTTACTACATGTTATTCTGATAGGCGATGTTTTCAAACGGATAATTTTGTTTTCAATAAAAGAAATAAATTAGATAATTTCTGAGCTCAAATCTGCCGTCTTTCATAAGATATTAATGTTATTATGTAATTCTGGGGAGTTTGGAGTGAAAATGTGTTTTAGTTATTTTGTTATTCATTATTAAAAAAGGTGACATGGTTGCTAGATTTTGAATAACTCGCTTTTTTGGCAGTCTTGATTTGGCCTCTTTCCATTTGTTTATTACTGTTTGTTCGTGTTGCAAGCTGTGCACCATCTTACGTTAGTGTTAACACTTTTAGTATTGTAAACACAAGTATTGTTAGCATTGTAAACATAAGTAATAAGTAATCAAATGCATTGTTTGCAAGAATCTCAAAACACAATGATGCCAAATGACTTTAAAATACAACTGAAACAGTAACCCGGAAATTTAGGCAGTCCCGAGCTTGCAGCGTTCCCTAGTGTAGAAAACACCATCCATACAATTTAATATTTGTATCAGAATTAATTATTACATTTAATATTAAAAGGCTGAATTATTTTTTTAGTATATTAAAATTACAAATTTAGAATTATAGCAAATCAATTATGTATATATATAATTATGTAAACAAAATATATTAATGCATTTATATTAATTTCAATATAAATATTCTATGTAAAAGGAAATTAGTAGAATCTGAATTTAAAATAAAATTACAGATTTGGAAAATAAGGAATTATATTTTATAAATTTAAATGAAGGTTTTATTTTATAACCGTCGTTGAACAGCAGACCCGATTATGGGTTTACTAGTACTACCAATGTTCAACTCCGTAGCCTTGTAATTTTGAACTCAATCCCAAAGACAAGGGAACTTCTGGATCAAGTATTGGGAGAAATTTATATTCTTGGAACTAACCCGCATGTGCGTTACATGGAGAGGAAAACCTACCACTGTTAGCCTAACGGCAATGGGACTCTAACCCTTGATCCGTCTACCACTGAGGATATTTTACGTCAGCTCTGGTCGGTGCAAGCCGGATGCGGAATTCGTATTTACCGGCCATTACTGGGATTCGATCCTGGTTCACCTCATTGGAAGACGAACGCTCTATCCCCTGAGCTATTTCGGCTCGAGTTTAATGAATATCAAATATTTTGATAGTACATGTCAGTATCTGGAAAAACTTGAAAACAAACGCCAATAAGTTACAAGCTTTTACCAACAAATGTATC